AAATAGATATCCATGCAGATAATTATACTCCTGCAAAAGGTCAGCACGATGTGTATCATTTCCTTAGGTGGTTTTTCTGAAGAGGCAGAAGTACCTGGCATCAAGTATGTCCTCTCACCCTACACACTGAGTTTGGTCACTACTCCTCTTTTCTTGAAGCCTGGGATTCCATATTCCATCAAGGTAGATGGGGGGGGGGGAATCCTGCTAAATATGATTGTCTTTTGTCTGTTTATGGAAAACATGGGGCTGGCAGGTGGGGGAAAGGCGCTGGAGAGGCAAATGACAGAGGGAACTCATTCTGTAAAATCTGCCTCTCCTGTGGACGCAGGTGGCGTGGGAAACTGCGGGCCAGCTGCTGCCCTGAGCATGATTTCAACTGCTAGGCTAGTGCCAGTTCTTAGTAAGATAGACGTTCCCTAAATAGTCTATAGTTAAACAAAATACTAACTATAGTTCAAAAAATACTAACACTTAAAATTATTTAGTGGCAAGTTCTTTAAAAGCCTTAAGATGGAAATATCATTCCTTGGAAATCAACTCCTTTCACCATTTTTTTACTTTCTCTACTTTTCCCTTTTTAAATGCTGATAGTGTACAGTTGAAATATTCATTTGATATTTATTATACTTAGTACTATACATTTTATTATAAATAATATAATACATTTCATTATATGTATTAAATTGGAATTTTTATTCCCTGCATTTAGAAAGCTACGGCAGAATATTTTATTTTTTATTTTTTAAATTTTTTGATATGTATTATTTTAAAAAATGAATTAGATCAGTATAATTAAAATTTGTTACTTATTACTTACTGTGGGTCACCAGCTTCTAGAAGAAAAAAACTTACCAAGCTCAAATCAAGCTTTGGACATGCTTGTAGCTTCTTATATATGTATATAATACATAATGAAATATCATATAAAATATAAAAATATTATATAGGATATAAATATAAAATATCTTGTATACATTTTAATCACATATAAAATAAAATAATATATCTTTGTGGAAATTATATATATATTACATACAATTTTATTTATATATACATATATGCATGGCTGTGGAGGTAGAGGTTAAGGAAAAAATGAATGCATTCATTTATTATTTCTCATATTCACAAGAATCATTCCCAGAAGTAATTGCTTTATTTTCTCCTTTATCTAGTCTTAAACCAACCAATGAAATAGAGAACTTAGATAACAGAAGACCTTATCACATCTGGTACTTGGCTGATTTAATAGAATGATATTTATGTTCTGAGTCTGCTTGATATACAGAGGAATTCATTCAAGAATTATCTAACTAAATAGAATTAAACCTCTCTATAAGCTGAGAACACACTTTACTGAATTAAACATAAATAATCTATACTTTGGTGGGAAGGAAGGAAAATCATTTCAGAATTGTTAAGCCTTCAAATAAGTGATGAGCTGTTGAAATGAATTTTGATTGTTCTGACAAACAGGTGCAGGTTAAGGATTCACTTGACCAATTGGTAGGAGGGATCCCAGTAACGCTGAATGCTCAAACAGTCGATGAAAACCAAGAAACATCTGTATTGGAGGCAGAGAAAAGTACAACACATCTCGATGATGGGGTAGCTTCATTTGTGGTTAATCTACCATCTGGAGTGAGGGTGCTGGACTTTCATGTGAGCTGAACTCTCCTGCTACGTTTTCTGGGACAATGTGTACTTTTGACTGTATGTTTTGGCTAGTGTACAGAACAGATGTAACATTTTATACATAAATCCAGTGAACAGTTCCACAATTTTGCTTCCAAAACAAACGAGAACCAGAGACAATTTGCTAATCCCTTGAATGGTCCTTAAGGAAGATAAATCTATGGATTTTTTATTTTAAATTTATTAATTATTTTCTCTTACACCAATAAGACTATATGAGAATCTAGAAGCTTCATAATAGGCACAGAAGTAGACATCGGTGGTAGGAATATCTTCTTCTCTCTCCCCTTTTTAAAAATTCCTTCGCCTCACTTTTTAAAAATTTCTTTTCAGGGCCACCAAAGGGTCCAATGTAGGATCCTCTCTTTTTTCTAAATGCATGAACATTAGAAGCTCATTAGAGCTCAGTTAATATTCTTCTCTCCAAGCAAATAATGTTTAAATTCTCAATCTCAAATGAAATATGAGTCAGTTAATAAAGTAAGTCAAAGACTGTAGCGTGAATATATTCACAATGCCTAAGTGCTAGGCATTGTGCTGAGAGCTTTATGCAGAACATATTTAATACCTGTTTAACCAGCAATATGAGTTACAGAATATCATCTTAAAAGTAAGTCAAAGACTGTAGCGTGAATATATTCACAATGCCTAAGTGCTAGGCATTGTGCTAAGAGCTTTATGCAGAACATATTTAATACCTGTTTAACCAGCAATATGAGTTACAGAATATCATCTTTGCCATTTTCTGACTGAGGAAACAGAGGCTTCTAACCTTTTTTGATTAAATAACTTATCCAGAGTTGAAAAGTGGTGGCACTGGGATGCAAACCAATGCACATCTGACTCCAGAGCGTGAGCTATTAACCCTTCTGCTGTCTGAAGGAGGATACTGCTCCCATGACATCACTTCTGCCCACCCATGTGCATAAGCACTCCTTTGTGCCACCCCTTCACCATGAAATGGCCAGTCTCTGTGATGTTCATTCACAATTCCTGTTTCCCAGTCCTCAAGAGTTAGTGCCACCTCCTTGACACATACCTTCTATCCCCGATTCTTGCCAGCCCATCCCATAGGAAAAGTCCCCAACTTACCATGACATTTCAGGAAGGGTGCCAATATTTGTTCCTGGAGCATCCTTCTCTCTTTATTTCACCAGACTTTTTCACCAAAGCCCATAATCCCATCATTATTGTCTGTCGTCTTTGTACAGTTACTTGATACCACAGCTGTACAAACACTGGAGTAATGGAGCTTTTCTTTTTTCTTTATCATTTGGTGTTGTGAAATTTAGAAATTTATAAAGCAAAGAAGAGAATTTAAAAAGTCATAGTCCACATGTTTTGGAAATTTTCCTTTTCAGGTCAAAACTGATGCCCCAGATCTTCCAGAAAAAAATCAGGCCAGCAAAAATTACCAAGCAATAGCATACTCATCTCTCAGCCAAAGTTACCTTTATATTGATTGGACTGGAACCTACAAACCTCTGCTCGTGGGAGAACATCTGAATATTATCGTTACCCCTAAAAGTCCATATATTGGCAATATAACTCACTATAATTACTTGGTAAGTACAGTAATGATGGATTTACATCTTATTTCTCCGCCTGGAACATTTTTCTTTGCTTAGAGAAGCAGTAGAATGATTCCTTACATTATTTACAAAGCCCTTTTAAGAACATCATCTAATTTGAATTTCAGTTTCTCAAAAACCTTTGAGATAGGGCGTGATTTTCATGACCATTTCAGATGAGGAAACTGAGGGACACATGGGTTAAAAGACTTACCGTGGTCACTCAGTTCAGAGGAGGAGGATTTTGATTTGAACTGAGAACCTCTGGCTGCTGGTCTGATAACTCCTTTCACTGAAAACAGCCTATTTACCCTGCAGAGAGCCTGATTAAAACATGACCTCTGCTCTATTTCATGGCCCAAAGATGACATGCCAACACTTAGTTTAAATATGTGCATTTCACTGGTATGAAAGGGGGGACCCAAGTCCTGTTCTCAAGAGTTGAGGCATATCATACCTGTTCCAATTTTACAGCTCAGAAACATCCCTACTGCAACATTTATATTAATGTGGATCGGTCANGTCAAGCCTGTTGGTGAAACACAGGAAAGAACGTGCCAAAAAGTTAAGGGCTTCCCAACAATTGCCAAAGAAATGGAATGAATTATTTTGGTGGCCAGGCCAAACAGGTGGTGGTGGCTTTTTCAACATTTTTGGGAAATAAGCTGAAAAAAATAAATGAGGACCATAAAAAAAATATTGACCAATGAAGAATTAGGGAAACTGTTCATGGACTGTGTACCAAAACCGTATTTGTAGTCCCGCTCTCTAAGGACAATTTAAATGATCTTTAAGGACATTTTGGCTTCATGTGATTTTTTTTAACCCTAAGCCTCCAATTTAGCATCTAATCTCTGGCTTTAAAACTTAATCCCCAAATAACATGCACTCCACTTACTCATCTATTTATTTATTTTTTTAATCAATGAAACAAAGGAGGTTTTAGTGATAGTATGGTGACTTTAAACAGATTTGGGTTCAAATTTTAGCTCTCTAATTTTCTAGTTATGTGATTTTGAACTAAAATCGGTATTACTTTTTGTTAGTTCCTAAACCTCAATTTCGTCAATGACGATCATACTCCTATCTATCTGCTATCTTGTGAGAACTAAAGGAGCTAAATAAATGGTAAAGTTCCTGGCACATAGTAGGTTCATACACGTTCACTTTATTCTTCTTTAAT